AAACACGACTAGGACAAGGAATGGATGGCAGACTAGACTAGACAATGACAGTACAATAAACTGACAATACTTCAAATAAACGTACACAAAGACAAGACTCTACACTAAGTACTCACGGGTAATAAATGGCAAGGTATAGCAACAAAAAGCGATCTGACAACATTCAGCATAGATAAAGCAATGAACCGACACAAGACAGCAAACACAAGGGGATTAAATACCAAGAAACTAACGAGGGGAACAGGTGACGCTGACAAGGCAATCATGACTAAACACGGATAACAAGGGGGCGGGGTTACAAGACGAGACAACACAAGCACATGGCCAAAACAATTGGCCATGCGCTTGTACACAAAACATTGGTTCTGTCATGATCCTGCCACAAGACTAAGAATAATCAATAACATGATGCAGAATCATGACACGATTTCTCAATTGGAGTCATAACAGGAAGTTTAAGAACATCAGGAGAATAAACAGATTATTACGCTAAATACACAATATCACTACTACAAAGTATGACATTAACAGTTTTTTTGGATATATACCTTAATTTATACATTAAATAAGCTACCATTGTTCACATAGTATGAAATTAACACCTGCCAACCCGCAATTTGTGGGTATTGCGCATTGGCTGCGACCTGTTCGTCTTGAAAAGGAATGCCTGTGCTTCAACACAGTTAACAAGTTTACATGCGCCTGCAGACATTACATTTTGGAGAACAGACGGAAGAAGATCTGTCAATGCGCATTTGATCATTGTTTGTGTTCAGATGTTCAATGGCGGTCATGAGCGCGAGCACGTGAATAATTTTTTTTCTTCTCTTTTTTTTCTACGTGTCAGTGGTCCCCTTTAGATGCATTTGAATGCAAAATCTGCAGGTATATATGATCCAAAGAAACTAGTAACTTGCTACTTGAGTATTTTTTTCTTTGGATATGTTTTTTACTCTTACTCAAGTAGCTATTAAAATTATTACTTTTTTACTGTAAATATTTCTATATGTACTTGTACTTTTAGTTTTTGGATACTCTACCCACCTCTGCTGTTAAATAAAATATAAGTTACATTTGTTTGTAGAGAAAACATGACATTGCTAACTGATTTCAACACTAGAGGGTAGTAGTCACCTGTTCAAAGATGACAGTTGTCCCTAGAGACTCCCACACACATTAATGCATCCTATCATTTTCCTGGCTTAATCCTCAGATATCAGAGAACTTTTACTTTGACTTGAACTCTGAGCAAACGAAGGCCATGCTCCGACCACACATCCCATCGGCTGCTATCTCCACCCTGGCCCGCTCTGCCGTCTTTTCAATCACCTACCCTTCCCAAGATGTTTTCCTTGTTATCAAGGTTGGTTACTATTTATAATCTTAAGCACCAGTTCATCATATTAGAATGATTTCTAAAGGATCTGATGTGATATTGAAGACTGGAGCCATGTAATAATGTAATTAATTTATTTATGTGCTTTTTAACATTCTAGCGTAAATTTATATTTTCAAGCCAATTAGACAGCTAAAGTATGAATGGATTTAATAAATGTATAGGTTTCTTTTTGTAGTGGCATGTTTGATGATTATTTCATTTTTTTAATATTACGTTAATGTTTACTTGTGACTGAATGCAGTACATTATCAATGCTCATCTGTTCTGTGTTTGCTTTCAGCTTGAGAAGGTGCTACAGCAGGGAGACATTGGAGAGTGTGCAGAGCCTTACATGGTCTTTAAAGAGTCTGATGCTGCCAAAGTAAGCATTTTATTATAGTTTGTACATTATACACCAACTCCTGGTGGAATTCACTTTAACATGGTGACTGGTATTTCTTTTCTTTTCCTGGGTACCACAGAATAAGGAAAAGATTGAGAAGTTGCGCAGTCAGTCCGAACAGTTCTGTCAGCGACTAGGGCGTTATCGGATGCCCTTTGCCTGGACGGCCATACACCTCATGAATATAGTGAACAGTGCAGGCAGTCTGGAGAGAGACACAGAGCTGGAGATGGGGCTTTCAGGTGAGTCTACATACGACACCAATGGTTGTGCGGATTAATCCTGTACTTGGACTTGCACAGTTTGAGGTTAGTGTTCCGAACAACATTTGAATGGGTGACGAAACCCATTAAAGTAGGACTTGCCGCATCTCATTTTGTCTTTCATTTTTGCTCTTTATTGGCTCTCTTTCTAACTCGTGACTCTGCACCATCACACAGAGAGGAAAGGCTCGTGGTCTGAACGGAGGAACTCTAGTATTGTGGGGCGTCGTTCGTTGGAGAGAACCACCAGCGGAGACGAATCATGCAGTCTGACTAGCTTCAGGCCTGCCACCCTGACTGTCACCAACTTCTTCAAACAGGTTACGCTGTTATTCTAAAAGAAAAAAATCATAGGAAGTTGACTGTCCAGTTACCCGTCATTGCATAGGTCAGACTGCAAAAGCTAATGAATGAAAGCTTTTCACATTTGATATGTTATTTATATTATATTATATATCATATTAGGAAGGAGATCGACTAAGTGATGAAGATCTCTACAAGTTCCTAGCCGACATGCGGCGTCCATCCTCTGTGCTGCGTAGACTGAGGCCCATCACAGGTAGAGCTCTCTTGGCATGTTTTTGCAATTTATTTTGACATCATGAACCATTTATGCATTGAGCTATGTAACTCATTTACTTTATGCCCTTAGCCCAGCTGAAGATCGACATCTCTCCAGCCCCTGAGAACCCTCACTATTGCCTGACGCCTGAGCTGCTCCAATTGAAGCCTTACCCTGACAGTCGAGTGCGGCCAACAAAAGATATCTTGGAGTTCCCTGCCAGGGACGTTTATGTGCCCAACACCACTTACAGGTATAACCAACTTTTAAATGTCTAGATCAGTGATTCTCAACATTTTTTACTCCAACACCACAATAATATTCAAAGGCCACCAGTTTTGTTTTTAATCTATGAGCACTCTTAGTTGTAAATTAAAAAAGTTAAAATACAAATAATTAAAATTAATTAGGGCTGTCAAATGATTAATCACATCCAAAATAAACGTTTTTTTTTTTTACATAATATATGTGGGTGGCTGGGTGCACTGTGTATAATTATTTTGTATATATATAAATACACACACATGCATGTATATTTAAGAAAAAAATATTATTTATATATAAAATATTTATATTTATATATAATATAAATTATATATAAATCTATATACAGTATATACATGAAAATATTTCTTAAATATATACAAGCATGTGTGTGTATTTATATATATAAAATAATTATACACAGTGCACCCACATATATTATGTAAAAAAAACTTTTATTTTGGATGTGATTAATCACGATTAATCATTTGACAGCCCTAAAATTAATATAATTACATTTCAGGATTCCAGAATTTTTGGGAACTGAATGTTCTTCAGGGATTCTACACTTTTAAAACCAGTGAATTTACATGGATTAAAAAAGAATATTTGGCTTAAAAGCATGGCATAACTAATAAAATATATATTCTTTATAAAAATGCTTTAGCTGGTTATTAATTTACATAACTTTTCCAGGTCTAGAAATCACCATTTTAAAATTAGACTACCTCATATATCCTGTTTCTTCAAATGAACCAAACAGTTGTTGGGGGGTGAATTAAAATAATTATTTTGTCTTATTTTAAACATTTTGTTGGCTTTTGTTGGATTTTTCCTTGGATGTTTGCTGAGGCTCTGCCCCCTAGATGAGAACCACTGGTCTGGATTAAATTTAGAATTGGCCTCACTTTTAGCCTTGCCTCACTTTTTCTCATTGTTAAATAGCCAACTGCGCTCTGTGTAAGCAGTCGGCCTTGCTGTATGGTCTAAACCCGCTATTCAAGCTTACTAGTTTAGTCAAGGTTGGTTTAGACAAAGATGCTTATCTTCTGCATATGTTGACATAACCTGTCATTCAGAGGACATGTTTGTCCACTCTCAGCCTGTGCCAACTTTGTTATCTTCCTTAGGACGATCCGTGTAGTCAGCCTTGATTTGAGTTGTGCTGAATAGGCAGATTGGGACAAAAGTTTACTGCAGACAAATTTCATGCTCTAGATTTATCACATGTGTCACGTCTGTCGTATATGCAAGTCGTATGACATGTTAATTATGAAGGGTTGATTTCCCCCTTAGGTTAAGCTTGATCCTCCTGCTGGATTGTTTAGTATCAGTTAAATAATTGTTTTTCTCCCCCACAAACTAACAGTAGCTTTAAACTGTGTGGAAACTGGTTAATTTCAGTTGTGAGCCCCCAATGAAATTGGTCATATATTGTGTTCTCTGCTGAGAAGATATTGCTGAAATTTGTTTTCATTATGCAGTGGTTTACAGTTATTACCAGTTAAAAAAAAAAGAAGCTTTTCCGCGTTCGTCCAAGTATATAGTTTGAACGATAGTTTCACTCGAGTGCTGTAAGTGGCTAATTTAAAGAAAGATTTATTTTTTAATATTGTCTAAATGTGTTGCTATAAATATGATGCACCCAACCATCACTGAGAAACATTCTGTAAACTAAATATACACAATACAGCTGAGTATGTACAAAGCATAACCAGGAGTCAATATGACTCAGTAACAGAAAGAGACATGCAGACCATAACGATACATTTCTTGGTAACACTTTGTAATAATTTTCAATATCAAAAATACAAGAGCATATATATGGCATTTTTTGTATATAATATAATATAAATGTGTTCTTAAGCATTATGGTTATGATTTAATGAAAGTTATTATAAAGTGTTACCCATTGCTTTTATACTGTTGCACATTTGTGTAAATTGCTTAAATACATTCTTTAAGTAAACATACAATATGTGAAATTATGTTGAGTAGTTCTATAGTTGAATGCAGTGCAGTTCTATAATATTATCCATTCCTGTTGACTCTTGATAATAACATGCACCAGATCCTGTTTCAGAGGTGTGCTCGACTTGCCATTTTAACTTTTTCGTTTTGGGATTTTCTTCTTGGTCAGTAAGCTACAAGTGTGTTATCTGGTGACCTATGAAGATTTTGAACTAACATGTTGCAATAACCCTTTGACTTGGTTTTTACCCTCTACCAGAGTCAATGACCTGTTGCAGTTGCATCATTCAGTTTCGGCTGTCTGTAGAGAAAGGGAAAAGCTTTGTTGGCCAGTGTCTACTGCCAGTGGGACACCTCTAATTGATTCTGAATTACCCAATAGAGAGTGAGATTAGGGTCAGGGATTATTTAAACTGGGTTGATGGTCTGATGGTGATCTTTGTGGATTTGAGAGTGAAGGAGCTTCCTTTGGCTGGCCTCCAGTAGATTCCTTTCCTGCGCTGGTGGCGAGTCCTCAGCCTCACCCAGGCGTATCTCCCGTTTAAGTTGGTGTCCCCACATGCATCAAACCACCAACCACCTGAAACCAGCGAACAATTATTAGTCAATTATGTATTGTATGATATTAAATATTTAATTTGACCGTTTGATACCTGTGTAATTGCGGGCACAGTTGGACTCGTCATGATTATCGTTGTCTCTGTCTTTGGTTGAGAACTTCATGCCCGTGTGGTTGCTCATGGCATCAGGCAGATCTCCGGACAAAGGTGCCACGTGAAGGGCGTAATCAGACGCAGGGCCTTCCAGGGTGAACATGTACTCTATGAATCTCTTTTCCTCCTTCCAGTCTTCCAGTTCAATGTGTAAAATGTATTCTCCTTGTTGAGCAATGGAATGGATCTTCTCCAAGCCAAGCCAAAACTCTTCTGTAACACAAGGACATTTGTGCTTAGTTAAAAGCTGAAGTTTCCATTTCTAGTGGTCCTTCCTTGAATCATTTTTAATGATCATGCCAGGAAGAGACATGTGATTAGAATCAATTTGAATCTGTTGCCTCTGCTTCAAGTGTATAGCATCATTTGCTTTTTGCAATTGTCTTCAGCTAAAGATGAATCATACTACAGAAGCTTAAGCTGTTCATATATTATCAAGCATCTATAGTAGGAGTAGTAGAGAAGGAAACGTGACGTGACACAAAAGGGCATACTTACTTTCCAATTTGCCAAAGCCATGTTCATATTTTTCCCATGACTGGTCAAAATCAACAGAACCATCCTCCCTCCTCTGAATGACGGTTGCTGCTCCATCTTAAAATAAAGAGTTAAAGAAAACCGTAAAAAGAGAATCCTAGTTCCATAAGAATGGCGATAAAGGCACAACCTTCTTAGTAAGGGTTGTAACCACCTAGGTAGGGTTTCTTGTGCCCTTTGTGATGTACCTGTCACAGTTTTTGTAACAGATATCAGTAGGAAGTCTGATTAGAAGTGCATTATTGGTCTCTTACCAGAACTTATCTCGCAGTAAACATAGAAAGGTTCAGATTGATTGGGTTTGATTGGGTAAATTCCTCTGGTCCTCTGGCCTCTTTTGAACACATCACTACAGTCTATTGGAAAGTCTGTGCAGAAAAACACACAGTTGATGGTTTTGGTTTTAATAAAGCAACAATTTAAATCGCTAATTGATTTCATGCTCTTCTTACCATTTATTTCTGTAGTTCCATTGGTGGAGTTGATTGTTAGGTACCGAAAAGGGTCTAGCGTTTCTGGGTTTAAATCCAAAGGTTTTTCAGCTGTGTCTTGAAAAGTGTCATAGTTCACCTGAAAATAAATGAATATATTTAATCTCAGTGAATGCAAATAAAGCCAGGAGAGTTAAAGTGATGATCATTTTAAATTCAGTAAATATTCTTTATTTTATATTCTGTAGGATTTCTAAACACTTGACTTTAATTTTATTAAACTGTCTAATTTATTAAAAAATATATTTTAATCCAGTTATAAAAAAAAAAAAAAAAAAAGAAAGATACATATATATATATATATTTACATACACACACACACACATATATACATATATATATATATATATATTTACACACACACACACACACACACACACACACACACACACACACACACACACGTGTGTATATATATATATATATATATATATATATATTCGTTAGCCTGAAAATTTTCGTTTTTGAGTGCAATAAGTGTGGGGACCCTTTTTATTAAAAAATACATTGAATGATAAAATGCATAATCTGAATTTTGTAATGAAAATAACATACCTTATCCTCAAGACTCTTAATTTTGGTCTTCTGGTAATTTAGCTGTTCGTGTTGCTCTTTAACAGATTTAAGCAGGTCTGTAATGGTCCTTTCTTGTGTTTCAATCACATCCTGCAACAGATAAAAGTTGTTAATGGAGTAAATGCATAACTAGATTCAGCTGACCTGTACAGCTATATGATCAGTACATTTTATCTGAACTTTTATTGATCTACATTTTTTTTGTAGCTCCTGCCATCAAATATGATTCACATGCATTTTTAGACATCTATTTTTTTTTAAAAATTGGTATTGCGACGCCCTATAGTTATGCGAATTTGGACCTTTATAATTTGAAATTCTGACTCACCTTCAAAGCAGTGATCTCTTGAAGTTGCTCCAGAGGCATCATGCTCTGAGACAAGCCCTTCAGCTTCTCCTCCAGTCCTCCAACCTTGCTATGCAACTGGTTTCGCTCTTGGAGAATATTGTTAATTTTTGAGTTGATCTCCAGTGACAAGTTTCTGATCTCCTCATTATTGGCCTTCAGAAATATGGTCGTCTCCTTTAACTTCTCTTCTTCCTCTTTGATCTCACTGGTGACCACTGAGAGCTGGTAGAAGGAGCGATCAAAGATGTTGAGCTTCTGGAAGATGTCGTTGATCTGGGACTTGGTTTTGTGCACAAACTCTCGGAGACTCTGGCCGAGCTGGAGCAAACCGTTAGCCAGGAGTCGTACGTCATCTAACATGGCAAAGCGGGATCTAACCTCAGTTGGCGGCGCGGTTATTAGGATAGGCGCCTCGGTTGGATCTTTTCTCAGGTTAGAGGCTGCGCTTGTTGTGGACAAGCTTAGCCAAAAAAGCAGGAAAATCGACATCATTTTAGGCGGTTTGTTCAGTGTGTCAGTCCGTTGTCAATGTCTGTCTGTGTGCTAGTCTCTTTTAACCTCCCTTTCTCGCTACTCTTCTCATCTCCTACTCTGAGAACAAAAACAGCAGAGATTCCTCAAATATATACCGCTACACTGAAAGGGGGAGGGAGCATTTGGTAATTATTAATCTAGCTTTGCTTGAGCCTCCTCCTCCAAATCTGTGGAAAGTTTACTCTGTGCAGACAATTTACAGTATCACACACACACACACACACACACACACTTCCCCCACTCACCACACATCCATAACCTGGTCCCTGGTTGCATCTGATAAGCAAAGATGAACGATGCTGATGAATCTTCCTGCCGATCGATCACATCATAACCGCGGCCACTTGGTGCTCTGTGCATGCACCGCTTGATGGGAATTAATTATAAAAGTATGCGATTTATGGTTCTGGCTTTGATTTAATGGCCTCCTGAATCAGCGGAGCATCACTCTCAGGTGCCACTGAGAGGCTCTGCATGTACAAGCAGGATCGTCGCTGGATCTCAGAACGGTTCGGCTCAGGCGGTAATAGAAATGAGTGATTGAAGTTGGGGGAGTTTGTGCCATTTGCACTGATATGTACAGGCTTTTTATTTACTGCTGCTCCATATTAATCTCCCCTCAGGGTTCAGCAGTGCTTTTATTTTTCTGTTGGCCTGGTCAGGCCAGTAGTTTCAATTTTAATATAATTTAATATAATTATAATTTAATATAATTTTGTTAATATATTTGAGTAATTTGAATAAATTCTATGGTTTAAAAACCTTTACTATTAGGTTTTCAATTTTCAATGCATTATACAGCTATAATGCTGTAATCACTCTTGTTATACATATAATGTAATACACACAGTCACACACACACACACACACACACACACACACACACACACACACACACACACACACACACACACACACAAAATCTCATTTCATGTCAACCACTTAGATTGGTAAAATGTTGCATAATGTTACATTTGGGAAAGAGTTTCATTTTCAACAACAATTTTCAGTAAAGATGTTTTAGCCTTGGTTTACTTTGTTCACATGTGCTGTTTTTAAATATTTAATCTTAGCAGCTTGTAATGGGGATCAGTTTAGTCTTGACCAAATGTTTACAAACACCCTAAATTTGGACCCTACTGATAAACTATTCAACCTGTTACTATTTTTGATCTAGTGAATCGTTGTTGTTTTTCCAGATGTTTTAATTGTGGAATAATCTCCTCTATTCAACACAATTTTACAAATAAAATACATCAACTATAGCAATATTCCTGCATACAAGATAATGAACATATTCTGATTAAACATGAATGTTATTTTCCATTAAGTTGAGTTGTTGTCATTGAGTTGTGATAATTGGATTTACATGACGCTGGCTTCTGCTTCAGCATATGACCAAATTCAAATATCGGCATATTCTTGCGCATGTAAATGCAGACGTTTAAACTATTTTGATATACTAATATGTTATGTCTGAAATGTCAAGTGTCTTTGATGTAATTTAAATAAATAACATGTCTAGCAAAATATATGGTTGTTTGAAACTATTTATGGACGCTGTTCTGTTTTAGGGTGAAACAAACGTGATTTTTTTTGCCTGCCATATAACTTGTTTTATGTTTGCTGTGTTTCAGTGGTGTATAATCATTGCCCTGCTGCAAGTACGTACTAACTGGTTCTGTTCAGATAGGTGCGCAAAGTTTGGCCTCAATCCATTTATTTGGATACAGCAAACACGACCTGACTCCCATTGTGTACCCAGAGGCCATTCAGCTTGTGTGTCAGCGTTGTGGATAGAAATATCATCTCCAATGTCCTTTCTTACACCCGGTGCCAAATCAAAAATTATTAACCCGTTATTATTTGATGAGTTTGCTGATCTAGATAGATCTGAACTGAAGAACAGTTTTGTCTGGAATTGCTCCAATTTTTTTTTTTTTTTTTTAACCTCTTGGGGATTTTTTTGTATTTGAATGCAATTTATATGGGAATATTCTGAATAGCACAACTTATTCACTCCTCCCTTGCTCATTTTCTCCTTTTGAATTTGAACTAAAGATCACAGTATGAAATAAGTGATACATACACACCACATTAGAGAGGAGGTGATATTGAGAGTTCATGAGAGTTATGTGCTCCTTGGAAATCTGTGACCTTTGCGGACTGTGGGGTTTCCCAGGAGAGTATGTTCCACGTCACTGCAGTATTTCTGTCTGTTCCTGCAGCTACTGTAACCACAGAACGGAAACGGCTGTGCAAGAATGGAAAAGATAATGTTAATGCCCCAAATTTTATTCTGGGCTTTTTTGAAGATGTTTTCACATGTGAACAGAAACTATGAAACTAATATTTTGAAATTACTTTAACTTTCAAAGTTTCCATTTCCTGTTAGTTTTAACCATGGGTTGTTGATTTCATCATCACCTTTGTTTTTATTTCATGGACAGTGGACACATTTCTGTCTCATTTTCAAATACCGGTAGTCTTATTTCAGTTAAGGAATCGGCTGAGAAACCAGAAGAACATTTCCAGAATTATTTACCTTTGAATATAAGATTTACAAAAGCTGCTTGAAAAACGTCTAAATATGTAAATAAGTATATATAAAAATATATATATTAAAATGTCTATTTAATTGAATGGGAGCAGTAGGGAACAAACATTTGATGTATAAACAACTTTCCTTCCTCTGTCTTCCTGCACTTGTAGGAACCTCCTGTACGTGAACCCACAGAGCCTGAACTTCGCAAATCGTCAAGGTTCTGCCCGTAACATTACAGTGAAAGTACAGTTCATGAATGGGGAAGATCCTAGCAACGCTATGCCTGTAAGTTCTGACTGATTAATTTACAAAGTCTCATATAGCCAAACATGTCATGGGAAAGCACTCTCTTGTTTTGGTGAGGTGGAATCATACTTACTGTTCATTCTTCCATGGTCTCTTAGGTAATCTTTGGGAAATCCAGCTGTGCAGAGTATTCAAAGGAGGCTTACACTTCTGTAGTCTATCATAATCGGTGAGTTCATGGCTGCAGCATCTATTAAAAACTCATACAGAAGTCTTCAACATGAGATCAAACATCAGCTCAGTGACAGTGTTAGTTGTACGTGATTTTGGACCGTTGGTCAATTTTTTGTTGGATTTGCATAAGAAATGGATTGTTTACACTGAGATTTTTACAATATATATATATATATATATACACTCACCGGCCACTTTATTAGGTACACCTGTCCAACTACTCGTTAACACTTAATTTCTAAGCAGCCAATCACATGGCGGCAACTCAGTGCATTTAGGCATGTAGACATGGTCAAGACAATCTCCTGCAGTTCAAACCGAGCATCAGTATGGGGAAGAAAGGTGATTTGAGTGACTTTGAACGTGGCATGATTGTTGGTGCCAGAAGGGCTAGTCTGAGTATTTCAGAAACTGCTAATCTACTGGGATTTTCACGCACAACCATCTCTAGGGTTTACAGAGAATGGTCCGAAAAAGAAAAAACATCCAGTGAGCGGCAGTTCTGTGGGCGGAAATGCCTTGTTGATGCCAGAGGTCAGAGGAGAATGGCCAGACTGGTTCGAGCTGATAGAAGGGCAACAGTGACTGAAATAACCACTCGTTACAACCGAGGTATGCAGCAAAGCATTTGTGAAGCCACAACACGCACAACCTTGAGGCGGATGGGCTACAACAGCAGAAGACTCCACCGGGTACCACTCATCTCCACTACAAATAGGAAAAAGAGGCTACAATTTGCAAGAGCTCACCAAAATTGAACAGTTAAAGACTGGAAAAATGTTGCCTGGTCTGATGAGTCTCGATTTCTGTTGAGACATTCAGATGTTAGAGTCAGAATTTGGCGTAAACAGAATGAGAACATGGAACCATCATGCCTTGTTACCACTGAGCAGGCTGGTGGTGGTGGTGTAATGGTGTGGGGGATGTTTTCCTGGCACACTTTAGGCCCCTTAGTGCCAATTGGGCATCGTTTAAATGCCACGGCCTACCTGAGCATTGTTTCTGACCATGTCCATCCCTTTATGGCCACCATGTACCCATCCTCTGATGGCTACTTCCACCATGTCACAAAGCTCTAATCATTTCAAATTGGTTTCTTGAACATGACAATGAGTTCACTGTACTAAAATGGCCTCCACAGTCACCAGATCTCAACCCAATAGAGCATCTTTGGGATGTGGTGGAACGGGAGATTCGCATCATGGATGTGCAGCCGACAAATCTGCGGCAACTGTGTGATGCCATCATGTCAATATGGACCAAACTCCCTGAGGAATGCTTCCAGCACCTTGTTGAATCTATGCCACGAAGAATTGAGGCAGTTCTGAAGGCAAAAGGGGGTCCAACCTGTTACTAGCATGGGGTACCTAATAAAGTGGCCGGTGAGTGTATATATATTTTTTTAATTTCTCAAATGTTCTTTTCTCAGATCACCTGATTTCCACGATGAAGTTAAAATCAAGCTTCCAGCCTCGCTGACCGACCATCATCACATCCTTTTCACTTTCTACCACGTCAGCTGTCAACAGAAACAGAACACTCCACTGGAGACGCCTGTTGGATACACGGTGCATACAGTGCTACACACACACACACACACACACACACTATTATTCAAGAGTTTAGGATCAGTAAGATTTAATTTTTTAAAGAATTAATACTTTTATTCAGCAATGGTTCATTAAATTGATCAAAGAGTGACAAAGTAAAATAAATGCTGTTTGACTTTTGAACTTGATTTCTTCTAATAAAAAAAAAAAAAATTGTATCCTGGTTTTCAAACCCTCTTTTGGCATTAAAAAAATATTACTGTCAGGATTTACTAAAGACACACTGTAAAAAAAATGTGTGCTGAAAAAGGCGTGGACACCGGGTGACCCTTTCTGACGCAAAATTTATGGGAGGAGAGTTTTTAAATGAGTCATGCAAGGTGATTTACTAAGGTGCCAATGAGAGTGGAAAGTTCAGCGCGTGATCTAACTGGCGTGAAACTGGTATTTGTGCCATTTTTTTAACGCCCA